TTTTCTTGTAAAATGAGAAATCTGATTCTTGTTTGCACAGGTTGAGCGTGCATTATCCCATGTGGAGATGAAGAACAAGGAAGCAGCATACCAAGCATGGCTCGGTTATTACAATTCGAACAGAAATATTGGGCGGGACAAATATAGACTTGTGGAGCTTGCTAATGAGTTTAGTCGATGCATGGGGCTTGACAACCCTCCAGCCATCCCGAAGCTGGTCTTAGGCAAAATGGGACTGAAGAATATACCTGGGTTGAGGTCTAAGTAGATAATATAGACTGCCACACACCAGTTCTTTTTTTCGATTTTGAAGTGGCAAGAAGGTTCAAACTTTGGGTAGAATTATGAGTTCTTATTTTATTTTTTGTCTTAGCTATTTGTAAGATGTTCGATTGCAGCAAGTATTATGATTTATTTCTTTAGCATTGGGAACTCTCTCCATTGTTTTCTACATAGAACGATCCAAGTCATTTATTTGCAAAACTGACCTGCCAGAGAAAGCATGCATTTGTTTTCGAAATGGAGATTTTGATTAAACTTTAACGCCCCAACTAATTATATAATAACAAATAACTATTATTATTATGGGCTATATTTGATTTCAGAGGTTTATGAAATTATAATTGGGCCATTTTCTCAAATTTTAAAAGAGTTTTAGGCTTAATATTATTTATGCAAATTATTTTCATTATATATTATTAAAAAGTCCTATAACATTGATGTATTTAAAATATAAATTTGGGCTCAAGATGTGATAATCATTCTTTTATATCTTTTCGAAAGTATATATTTATGAGTCTTCCCATGAATTTATAATATAATTATGAGAAAAATACCCTATTAACTAACTTCAACACAAAATATTGCATATGTACTAATATAATATTTTAATTGCAAACATATAGAAACTGAAGGAAATGTTTGCATATATACTAAATTCTTATATATTTTTTATTTACCTTTTATAAAGATAATTGTTAAGCAGATTGAATTATACTTGGTTACTGCTGGATTTAATGGGATATTACATTTTTATAAGTTCACGTACACTTACTACCAAGCCGCACTCCACTTCCAATCTCTTCATTCTTTTGTGAAAAATGCTACAAGTACATAATAAATGTACATAGAGCTATACATAACACTCACATAGAGCGGGGTCCACTTACTTTTTTATAGATGTACATTATTATGTACTTATAGCATTTCTCTTCTTTTCTATTCTTTTATCCTTGACGCGATTATTCACAATCTCAAGCATTTTGTTTTATTCATTTCTTCTTAAAAAATAAGCAAATTGTTTGCTTGGGCAGTTTTGTTTTATTTATTTCTTCTTTTGATTTATTACGCTTTTGCCCCCTTGTGGTGCAGACTGTTTGCCTGGGCACCTGTTAGCCCAGTTTACAGATTTTTCACTTTGGCCGTTGTTTTTCTTTTCTTTTCCTTTCTTTTACTTTTCTCTCTTGTTCCCGGCCTTTTTGTTGGTGATTACTGTATGAACTTGTAGAGTTGTGATTATCTGGTCCTGGGGTATATTTATATACATGTTGGGGGTCTCGTCTACCCTCCTAGGGTTCTTAAAAAAAAAGAAAAAGAAAAAAAAGAAAAACATAAGCACACAAAATGGCGAAATCAATTCCCACAACGTCGAAAGCAGCCCCACCTGCGATGTAGGAGACGGTTTACAACTGAGATCTAGTTCTCGTCTCCACCAGGCTAAACCTAATGTTGACCGGAAACTCTTGCATAAGAAGCTTCAATTTCATAACAAATTGAAGGTATGTGGCTAAAAAAATCCACAATAAAGGTAGAGAAGTTACGGCCGGTGCAACCCTTGCCAGCAACGTTGGCAAAGAAGCGAATATGGTGAAAGAAATCCAAAACTTTCGCATAAAGAAAATCCAGAGCAAGATTCTGATTTTATTTAAAAAGAAGAATTTAACATTGACGAGATGGAAATTGATTAATATGCCGTTCAAAGCAATGGCCCAACCAGAAAAGAAAATGAATGATAAAACAAACAAGTCGGCAATTATAAGAAAAGAAAGGGTCAAGGTTTAACAACGAGCATCAAAATCTTGTGCAAGACAGACATTTTAATTTTCTAAGTAAATGTTTTATAAAATCTCTTCAGAGATGAGCTATTGTTAGATATTATTATCATACAGAATGTGTTTCGAACATAATTGTTATAAATGTTGTTAGTAAAAAATATAATCGTTTTTTGTGTTGAGATTATGTGATTGATTTTATAGAATAAAAATTATAAGTGAGACAGATAATATAATTATTTTATGCCTTTAGATTATGTGATTGATTTGATAGAATTTTTTTGATTTGATAGAATAAAAATTATAACGAACAAAATATTTTGTATATAAAGATAAATAATGAAATAGAAAATTCAAATAGCTCCTTATTCAAATTGATTTTTTATTTTCTTTCATGTATAAATTTATTTACAAATTCTGACAATGATATATTTATATATTAATATTGATGTTTATCAATGAAAGAAATCTACTAAATATATGAAAAATTCTTAAAAAATATATAAAAGTCCTAAACATAAACAATTTAGAATTCTTATTTCTTTTCTTTTGGAAAATACACGTCACTGGGATTTCTAAAATAAATCCTACAAAATCAACGATTTCAATTCTTTACAAAATCTTAAAAAGTCTTTAGGGATACTTTCAGAACAACGAAGAACAAACAAGGAGGAAGAAGGAAGGAGGAAGAAGGAAAAGAAGAGGGGAGTAGAAAAATAGAGAAAGAGGACGGATTGGCCAGACGATGCCGGATAACGAACCAGTTGGTGGCGGCAGCGGTGGTTCCGCCACGCCGGAAGAAGCTCCGACTGGTATGTGCTGATTCTTTCCTCCGCTTGCCCAATTAGGGTTTCTTCAACACTGTCCTTATTCTAAATTATCGTTTGCGTGAAATTCCTTAAGTTAATGCTTTAATTTGATGGGTTTTTGTTCATTTAAGGCATCTCGTTTCTTTCCCGGTTTCTATTCTTATAACGACTCTGGTTTATATCGAGTTAAATCTTTTAGCTTGAACTTTGTGAATGTTCGTCTTGCTGTTGGAAAGCCACTAAAATTATTTGAACTAGTCGATTTTCTCATTTTCTGGAATAGTTACATACTTTTCTCATGTTTTAATTTCATTTCATGTCGAACTTCTTCTTCGATTTCAGTGTGCAATTTCTTCAGGAAGCCCTCAAAGGGAAAGAACATAAGGAAACGAACCTCCACTGAAGAAGGAGATGGTGAGGAAGAAGAATCCACAGTTGTCATCAACAAGAAGAAGCAAGCGGCTCCCGACAACAAGCTCCGCTTCTCAAGCGGACCAACAAAGACCTCAAAAGAATCTGAGCTGGATAAACCCAAAGCCACAGTCTTCGAATATGAGTCATCCAGAGATATCCAAGTCCACAACGACAATCGGGCCACGGCCACCCTAGAAACTGAGACCGAGTTCTCTAGAGATGCACGGGCCATCAGAGAGAGAGTCCTTAGGCAAGCTGAGGAGGCTCTTAAGGGTAAAAACAAAGCTGACGGGTCAGAAAAATTATATAAGGGCATGCACGGGTATACAGACTACAAGGCTGGGTTCAGGAGAGAGCATACGGTCGCGAGTGAGAAAGCTGGTGGGGCCCATGGGCCTCTTAGGGCCTCGGCCCATATAAGGGTTTCTGCAAGGTTCGACTATCAGCCGGACATTTGCAAAGATTATAAGGAGACAGGTTATTGTGGATATGGGGATTCTTGCAAGTTTATGCATGATAGAGGTGATTATAAGTCGGGCTGGCAACTGGAAAAGGAGTGGGAGGAAAAGGAGAAGGCGCGGTTGAGAAAAATGGCTATGGGGATGAAAGATGATGATGATGGTGATGATGAGGGGAGGGGTGAAGGGATGAGTGATGATGATGATGAAGATGCATTGCCGTTTGCGTGTTTTATATGCAGGGAACCTTTTGTGGATCCTGTTGTGACTAGGTGCAAGCATTATTTTTGTGAGCATTGTGCGTTGAAGGTATTGCTATTTTTTTCCGGCTTTTTCTGATGTTTGGATATTGTTTACAGAGTAAAATTGNGGATATTGTTTTACGGAGTAAAGTTGGCATTTTTGTTTTTTCTAATGAAATTTTGTTTGTTTGTTGGCAGCATCATGCGAAGAATAAGAAGTGCTTTGTATGTGACCAGCCCACGAATGGGATATTCAACACGGCCTTTGAGATACGGAAAAAGATGGCTGCTGAGACAAAGTAATGAATCAAATGTGAGCTTTTTGGGTCAATGTGTTGGAGGACTCTTAATATGTAAGCTCCAGTGCTGGTACACTTATTCTATTTTTTTTATCTTTTTTTTCACTCTGAGTGTTGTATAAACTTTGCTCGTCTTTCCTATACAAATCTTTCAGTATTTGCCACAAACTTTTAGCTTTATCATTGGAGCAATCCCTTTTATAGTTCTTCCCATGGTGCAAATTAAGGTATTTGAAATTCTCAACTGTGTTCTTCTTTTGTGTTCTAGGAAAGATTTATGTAATTAGCATATCCATAATCTTGAACAGAATTGAGTTAACTTAACTGTTCCCAAGTATGCAGTATAAGCAAACTGTTCAGCAAAAAATCGATATCACAAACTGAAAATGCTTATAAGGAGTAGGGGGAATCTCCACTAGACATTGATTAAGTCGACAATTCAAAACAAATAGACTGCATGTACCATAAATTTTGGCGCATACGAAACTCAAAGGTTATGTGCGAAGTTTTTCATACCTTGAAGAGTATTTCGATCAGGATAGAATGGATAGGAAACAGGATTTATGTATGTCAGATGAAAAACCACAGTAGATTCAGTTCCCAGTCCCTCAAAGACATCCGACTTTTTTCTGCACAAACTTAAACTTGCATGGTCGGAAGCCCTTGAGGGAGAGGGAACTAAAGCTCACATAGTGAAAGAAGTGTTGGACAATGAAATGCTTACACAAAAGTTGGTTTTTTTTGGGTGTGTTGACAGTCAGAAATAAGTTGAACCTTTTTATAGCCAGAAATCTTGAGGAAGTGTGGGACCTTAACATACTCTGGCACTTGAGAGCTGAAATGATATGGCCAAATCAATCGTTTGGAATGACGATAGATTTTCTAATCTGAGCAGTATGGACAACGGGTATGGCTCTCCAATACACAAGTCAACACCTCACAAAACTTGAGAATAAAGAATCTCAGCCTCTCAGGCATCCATTGATGATAATATTATTCATAACAGGTCTCTTTTTTCCTTTTTCGGCCCTCTTGTTGTTGGACGCCGACCAAGTTGTGAAACGGGGAGTTACTCGTTGTTTGGCATAGGACTAATGGCATGATTGGTATGAAAGAATGACATGAAAATGAAATGATCATACTATTACTCATTTCTTATATTATTTTTAAAGGAATGACTATTCCAATAGAATCACAAAACTCATCTTCATGAGATTAGCCATTCCATAGTTAATGTAAGGTTTTCCATTCCTATATTTGTAGGAATCAATATTTGAATAAAATTAACAAATAATAATAAAAAATAGATATATAATATATGCTATAAATCATGATTAAATTATATTATATAAAATTATTTAAAAAATATATTTCAAATAATAAATTTAAAAACTTATTTTTATTTGTTGTTAATAATATAATTAGATATATTATATAAAAATAAAACTAAAAAAAATGCATTTATAAATAATTTAAAAAGATATTATTTTATTTTATACATCATATATATTACATATTTATTCATAAATTGAATTATAATATAAAAATTTAATTTACCACCTATGCTTATAAGGGTTTATGTAATGATATAATTGTATTAGTTAATATAGATGTGAATACACGATTCACTAATTTATAATATAATATATATGAGTGCAACAATATAAAAATGTATTTATTAAAATATAGTATATTTTTTTACGAAAAATATAATTTATTATTATCATTAATTAAAAAGTAACATTAATATAAATATTTTTTTCTATAATATAGTGACAATTTATAATATAGAATGATAATGTCATTCCATTTAGGTCTTATTATTTCTGCATACCAAACACAACAATGGAAAAACTTATTTCATTCTTTTCTCATTCTTTAACTCATTCTATTCCTATCAAATTTCATTCCATTATACCAACTAGTGCGATGCACGGGAAAACAATATTACGATTGTATTATAAATTAAATATATAAATAACATTAATCATGATTTATTCATTGTTTTTAAATTAAACCTGGTTGGACACAATTTGATCGGATGGACCGAAAACAGGTTTATAACCAGTCTAGTTCGATTTAATAAAATATTTGCTTTCGAATCCGTCAACACCAGTCGGTTGGACTGGTAGGATCGATACGATTTTCTAAATAAATTTTGTTATATTTAAAGTTATTTTAAATAAAATTACATATTTAAATAAAATAGAGATTTATAAATTATTTATCACTTAATTTAAACATTTGAATTTATAAACTGCTTAGACATCTAAGTAACACATTTTATTTAAATTTATTACAAAAAGTACTATATATATATATATATATATTAAAATATTTATAAATTAAAATCTAAACAAACAACAAATGATTTAATAAAATAGCTTGATCGTTTCGATGACAGTCCAGTTCTGAAAATCTTATATTTACTGTACATTAATAAATATTATAATAAAATATCTAATTCACATAAATATTAATAAAATGATATATAAATATTCATAAATCATTAAGCATGTTGTCATAAAAGTATTTTTAATACGACTATTTGAAGTTTGGACTACATCGCATTCACGTAATAAAATATTTTCAATATAATTTATATTTAGGTTCAATAATCGATTTGGTGTGATCGAACTGATACATAACTTAGTCACTTGGGACCAACCAAATTGTGTCAATTTTTTTGACTATTTTAAATATCACCTAAAAATAATTCAATCAAAACCTGGGCAGGACCCTAATTCAATCACCCGATTGACTGAAGAAATTTTCTTATTTTCTTTAAATATATTTAATTTTATGAAATAAAAATATTTTATGATTCATATAATAAATGTCTACACCAAATGATAGTATATTGAGATTATAAATTATATATCTAAAGATGAATTAATTATTTTTATTTTATGCATATTAATAAAAAATAAATATAGTAATTTTAAAAAAATTAAGATTAATTGATTGATTATGTAATTTAAAGAATATTTTTAGCGTTCAATATTTTTTTAAAGACACAAATATAAAGACCGAGATTCTAAAACTTTTGTTATATTTTGAATTGAGATTTAATAAATATAGAGATCGATATTTTAATGTTGTTCGTTGTTTCTGAGAATAAAATAAAATAAAAACATACACTTAATAAATCTTAGCCTGATTTTTTAAATAATAAAATGAACTAAATCCCAAAATTTAAGGTAGCATTTAATGATATATGATTTTTAAAGAAAAAAATAAGAAAAATAATAAAACTTACTATTTATAGGCTACATTAAATTCTGACCTATTTTTTGCTACTATTTTTAGTAAATGGTAATTCTTATTATATATATAGATAGATTATGCCATAAAGGGTGTAAGTAACGAACTCAAAATCTTTATGCGGCATGTATACATATTTTAAACTTTTTCTAAAGAAAATAAAATAGTGTTATCCCCAAAAATTCATTTGATAAATTGTGAACAATAGTCATAGATAAAACCTCTATTTTGCATGATTGGAGAAAAGGAATAAGCTTAATTATGGTATGCACTACCTGAAAAGGAGCTACGAAATTAGGAACGCATAAAGGAACTACTACAACACGCGGACATTATTAAAAAGTTTATTTTAGGAAAAAATTAATTGGGCTAGACGTTACCAGAAAAGGGGTTAGCCATTATTAAATTAATTAATTTTGGCCAAAAACTAATTGGGCTAGGCATTACCTGAAAAGGGGTTAGGTATCGTGTAAATTAGGTTGGTTTCAATTCGGTCAAACATATAATATTGGATATTAGAAAAAATATGTAATCTTATTTTCCAACAATAACAATTTTGATAAATAAATTTAAATATTTATTATTAATATCATTTTATTATAAAGAAAAAATACTTTATAATAAAATTTAATTTTTTTTGGTATATCATTTTATATCAATTATAAATTTTAAGTTTTCAATTATAAAGAAAAATTATAATTTTTTTAGGTATAAAATGTGGGTAAAAATTTAGTAAGAATAAAGAAATCGAGAATAAAATTTGAGATGTTGAGTAGTCATATTACAATGTCTCAAACCCTCTGAATATAGCCATTGATTACTGGAGAAATGCTATGGAGCTAATGACTGGCTCCTTTATGGAGCCAACCACCAATGTTATAGTGCCACGTAGGCCATGTGAAAAAATAATTAACTCCACATGGCCTAACACCAACATAAAGTGATTATTGTAATATCACAGGCACTGACATCAATATACCACCAGTTGCCTCGGATTCACAATGATCATAGATGACTTTACAGTATTTCACCCGAACATTGATTACTGTAATATCACAGGCACTAACATCAATATACCAATTTCCTCAGATTCATAGTGATCATAGAAGACTTTACAGTATTTTCGGTACCAGTGTCTATTCACATTCTAGTAACTCATATTTTAACAAAGTGACGATACAGTTGCAAAACTTTGTCCTCTCTTTCGCGTTTTTACCCCTTTTGCACAGTAAAAACCTAGAAAGGAATATTGTCGTCAGCCTCCTCCCAGTGGAGTGGTATTAGGCACATCATTACTGCAGTTTCTGGTTCAGAGTCTTAGGCTGGATTTCTCTCCCTTTTGGGTGGTTGTACTTGGGGGTCAGTGTCGTGGTTTTGCAGGTTTGCTTGTCGGCTGTCGACGAGGGCTTTAGTTTATCTTAGGGTATTTTAGTAGTTAGTGTGTGTGGTTTGTGTTGTGGTTTTTATTCTCCTCTTCAGGAGTGTGTATCCTCCCATTTAGAAATGTGTATTATCCACTTGTGGGAGTTTTTTTGGTTTCTTGTGTCTTGGTGCTGACGTATTTAGGCAACTTATGGGTAGGCCTCTTGTTTCTAACTAGTCAGCCGCTTGTAATATGTGTTTTTACTAGTGAATTTCTATCGTTTCAAAGAAAAAAAATAAATAAATAAAAAGATAATACTATTGCAGATGCTCTAATCATTATCAATGTATACTATGTGTAACTCACCCTATATTTTAACAAACCGACAGTGTGTAACTCATATTTTAATGCTCTATGCATTATCTCATATTTTAACAAACTGAGAGTACTATTTGAGATGCTCTATGCATAAGTCATTTTAACAAAATGAGAGTACCATAAGTTAACGAACTGAGAGTACTATTTGAGATGCTCTATGCATTCTCTCGTTTGCTCGTCTCTAAGCATTCTGTCATATTTTAACAAACTGAGGCTTCGGTTACTTGAAGAGATGGGATAGGTCCCATAGGATGGGTTAATCCCATGAATTAGTTTTTGTCCCATGAGTCAGCTTTACTAAATCTGTAATTATTTGGACATTCAAGGGTATAATTGACATTATACATGTGAGTTCTTGGACAAAAAAATCATTTTTGTGTTGAGATAAAAATATCTCACCCTCAGAGATGTGATACAATTATCCTACCATTCATGGGTATATGCGTGTGCCCAACTGTTACATACATGACATATAAGACTTATCCAAATCCCGGTCCCTGCTAGTAAACACCGGATAAGGTTAATTAAAAAATATTATCCCATCATATCCTGATAAATAAAAGAGGCCTGACAGTAGTATTGGAGATTGTCTAAGCAATATCTAAATTTTAACAAATCGATAGTATTATTTGAAGATGCTCTAAGAATTATGTAAATTATTTAGTTTCCAGTGTTGTGCCAAATAAAATAAAGTGGAAAGAATTGGTGCATTGGATCCACTTTCATTCAGAAAATACGCAGCTGCTGAATAAATAAGCTACAAAATCGACACTGATAAAGTAGATGATAAAGTCTCACATATTCCTTGGGAGTATCTATCCCTCTCCTTATAAGAGAATAATTACAAAACCACCACAACCAGCTGGATTGTAAAAACATATCCAAGCTCTTTTTATACATAGAACCAAACTACCAACTTCTCCTCGGATTGCAGTTTAAAATTTTCCGGTGAAGTGCCGGACAAACAATGATTTTTACTACATAATGAGTGGAAAGGCGAACAAAATGAGTGGTAGGCTGGCAGCCTATCAACTTTGGACAAGTCATTCAACGGAATATTGTAGATATAGAAACAGAATTTTTGTGAAGACCAAAAAGTGACATTTTTTAGAAGAGCTGTGAATAACGGGGTATATGTGCAAATTTCCCAAAGTTGGGATTTCATGAAAGGAACAAACAAGAGAACCAGCAACAGAGGAATGACAGGCTTGCCACAAAATGCAAAACTATATCATCAATGATAAATTTAGAAACCATATCATGGATGTAAATGTAGAGAGAGAGGTCTTCAGAAAAGAAGGAAACCAAAAGGCAATAATCTCTATCCACAGTGTCTTTGACCTTGTTACACAGTCCAGTCAATTTTCAGCAATGGACTATTTGCTTATAGTAAAGCATAATACTTAACCAAGTCAGCATGAATCTTTCACAAACTTCCTTATCATCCATCTTGATGGTAACTTACTATGATCAAGATTAGTAATGCAACCACAAATGGGATAACATCCAACTGTCTGAGCGCCAAATTTTCAAAATCTTTGTGTTCAAATGGATGAAATATTCCAATTCATTATACATATCTCATAAACAAGGTGATGAAAGACCACATTCAGTACCAATCACAACACACATCTAGGATTTCTCGAGAAACGACCAAACTCTTGAACAAGAAAAAAAATCATTTACCCCCTCTCAGCAAAAAATGCATCCCCTCCATCAGCAAAATACCAGAAATGCCCTCAAGACACACCTCTCAATCCACACTCACATTGCTACACATCTACCAGCGTTCTCTAGGCCGCCCGTCCGGAAAAACGGGAAGAAGAACCTTTTTATCCTGATTCTTGCTAGACCCATTAACATCCTTGCCAATCTTCCCAACTCGTAAACCATCGTATTCCTCCTCATTAAAATCTGGAGGCACATCATCATCATCATCATCACTCCATTCATCCCCATTCCCATCATCATCAAACTCACCACTTTCTAAATCTTCAATATCCGACCACTCATTAACATCCTCGTCAGAATCACCCTCATTCTCATCCTCTCCACTTCCCTCACTGCCCCGCCGCCTGCCACGCCTCGGCACATCCACGAGCACCCGGAACTTCTCCTTCACAAGCAGCATCTTGTCCTTCTCAACCAACTGCGAGTCCCTGTACGCCTCCCGAAGAAAAACCGAGTCCCTGTCTCCCTTGAGCGAGACATAAAACATATCCGGATGCCTTATCAGCATTCCCCTCAGCTGCTGAGAGAATCTGAACTCCTCCCGAAAATGGGTCAAGTGATCCACGAGCGTTCTCTTCTCGGCCGTCAGACTCAGAATCTCGTGTACAACCCCACACGCGTGCTTCTCCTTCTCACGAGTGCCTGCCTTCAACTCTGAGAAGTCCGAATAAGGAGAAATGTAAGGAATGTCTCTGAACTGCTCGATCCTTCTCATCTCGCCTTTCGAGAGGTTGAGCCCCTTTGGAAGCTTGACTCGATTAAATTTTGGCCTCCTATCAATAATCAAATCCTTCTCGTCCAATTCACGCTGTCTATTCTCCTCTTCCGCAAGCTCGGCAGCCGAAACTGCTAAATCTGGGTCCCAGTGAGTCAGCTCAAGGGCCTGACCTCGGCCTGTCGGGACAATTCGAAAGTACTGAGGGTAGCGGTGGCAGATTGTGTTACGAAACTCGGTGGGAAGGCCTAAATCGGCCTTCAAGTGCGCGATTTTCTCCAGGAGAATACGCTTGTCGATAGACATCATCAAGAGTTTCCTGAGCTTAATGACCAATAAGTCCTCCATCTCGTTCCTGAGCTTCAACTCCTCGAGGTAAAGCCTTTCGGCCTCTGGAGTGAGTTTGAACTTGAGGGAGTAGGCGCCTTCCTCCACGACCTCAAACACGGCAGGGAATTTTTTGAGGAGGGCTATGAAACGGCGCCGCTTGTGCAGCCCGAGGGCTTTTCTGAAACGGCCCAGTTCGCGGAGGGCCATGACTCGATCCGGTTGGCTCATGAGGATTTTCCGGATTTTGAGGGCCACCTTCAGCTTCTTGTCCCTTTCGATAACGTTGTCAAAGGGGAGCTCTTTCCTCCGTTTCACGGCGCCGGCTATTGTCACCGGAAAACGGGTGCTGAAATTTGTGGGCAATTCATTATTTTTTGGAAATACTATATTTTGTCCCAAAAATGCCGACTTTTTCAGGTTGTTGGATGAAACAGATACGCGGATATCAGAACATGGCTTGGGCTTTCGAAGCAGGGATGAATTGCACGAGAGGAAAAACGGGAGAGCGCAAACCGACGGTGGGGCTTTATACGGTGAAATCAAGAATTTGGGTTCCATGATAAGATCTGGGTATTCTTGTATAAATCACCACAAACATAAATAATAAAACACTATGAGAAGGAGAAATGGAGTTCGGAAACCACTGATCTGAATAGCTTAACTAGGGTTTATCAACAAAAAACCCTCTCCACGGATATTTTTCTCTCTCATTTTATCCTCCTGAAATAGACTGGTACTTGGAATTTTGCTAATTCGCCCCTTTGTTGAAATGGATAAAATATCTAAGAGGTGTTTGGATAAAAATCATATTCAATTGCCTTTATCCCGAGTGTTATTTAAGTTTGTTTGATAATTGAAAAAATAATAATTTTAATTAATCATATTTTTAATTTAAAGATTAATTCAAATTTAATTCAACTTAATCATCTTTAATATTATTAATATAATTTAAATAATATTAATTAATCATACTCACACCTCACATCAAATCAATTTTATTTATTTTATTTTAAATATTATTTTAATATAAATTTAAAATTTTACTTAAACCTAACAAGTAACAACTTTTTACTAATATATATCCAATCCACTAATCAACTTCTAGTTCAATCGTCTTTTTTCTTTTTTTTTTTCTTTTATTTTTCTCCTTTACACTCCTCATTAATTTCTTCTTTTCCTCACAACTAGGGAAAATTTCACTTTTAATACCCTAGGTATACCTACTTTTCGCTTTTGATACCCATGATTTACCCTTAATCAATTATAGTCACTAAAGTCTATAAAATCAATCATTTTTGCACGAAGCGTCAGTTGACCGTGAGTCAATTGACGGACACCGTCTGTAGCAGGTCTCCTACTTCTGCAAGTGATAGAAAATGGCGGGCATCTCCATTACAGCACCACAAAGCTACAGACAGTGAGGGAAAAAAAAAGGAATTTGATTTGCAATGAGCAGTTCAAGAGGAAGCTCGAGCTGGAACTCAGAGATTAATGGTGCTCCAATGAAGATGACTTGCAGGTGTGGAGATAAAGTATACTTGAAGACCTCCTGGACCCAAAATAATCCGGGAAGAAGATATTGGGCATGCCCTAAATATGGGGTAATTGATTAATTTGTTATGCATTTGTGTTTTCATTTTGTTTTTAAATATGGCCTAAGCATGAATTTTTCGAATGCCCTAAATATGCCCTAAGAGTGGTTTTTTTCGAAAATCTTACAATAAACCCTAAAACTGTTTTAATAGCTGAAATTGTTTTTGAATGTGTTTATAAATATGCTCTAAGAGTGAAATTGAGCGTGCCCTGAAATTGTTTTCGAATGGGTTTTTAGCATGCCCTGAATCTTAAATATAGGCGCTGAAAGGTCGGTTTTTGATGTGATTTAGTTTGTTGAATTGTTAAATTTCTGCAATATTGATTAAAATGATGTATGCACTTTACTCTAAGAGTGAAATTTTCGCATGCCATTTTTGCAGCAAAAGTTTGGTTTTTGCGGGTTTTTTATATGGTATGATCCGGAAATTTGCGCAAGAGCAAAGAATATTATACCCGGTTTGCTGGAAAAATCAAATAAACATCAATATCAAATTGAGCAATACAAGTTGAGGAATGCTGAAATGGAAGCTCAACTCTTGGTGGCAATGAAAAAAGTGGATGACATGAACAATGCATTGGTTGAAATTGAGCAATACAAGTTGAAGAATGCTGAATTGGAAGCTCAACTGTTGGTGGCAATGAACAATGTGGATGACATGAAGAAGGCATTGGTTGTGTGCAAGAATAAGATCAAAAAATTATGGGCTGCTACCATTCTTCTCTCATTGTTATACCTTGTCAAATTATGTTCTAACTAGATTTAGATAGTTATGGTTTAGGGTTTATTGTAAGATTGTTATTATGTAATGTTTTATTAATGCAATTCCTGTACCATTTTTAGTATGAATATTGTTATGCAATCCATGTACCATTTTCAATGAGTTATGTTATGTATTTGCAATATGAAGAAGACTCCTAAA